CTAAATGGAGTAATTACATGTACGCTGTCCCAGCCTGCAACCTGTTTACCTCAGACCATTTCTCCAATTTGTCCAGATCATTTTGAATTATGACCTTATCCTCCAAAGCAGTTGCAATCCCTCCCAGTTTGGTATCATCTGCAAATTCAATAAATGTACTTTCTATGCCAATATCTAAGTCGTTGATGAAGATATTGAACAGAGCCGGTCCCAAAACAGACCTCTGTGGATCCCCACTTGTTATACCTTTCCAGAAGGATTGGGAACCATTAATAACTACTCTCTGAGTATGGTTATCCAGCCAGTTATGCACCCATCTTATAGTAGCTCCATCTAAGTTGTAGTTGCCTAGTTTATTGATAAGAATATCATGCAAGACCATAACAAATGCCTTACTGAAGTCTAGGTATACCACATCCACCACTTCTCCCTTATCCAAAAGACTTATTATCCTATCAAAGAAAGCTATCAGATTGGTTTGACATGATTTGTTCTTTACAAATCAATGCTGGCTATTCCCTGTAACCTTACATCTTGTAACATCTTCCAAGTGTTTGTAGATGATTTCCTTAATTAAATGGAAGAAAGGGAAAGTTGATAGTAATGAATATAAAGCAGAAGCTAGGAATTGTAGAAAATTGATAAGGGAAGCAAAGGGACAGAAAGCGAGCTCTCTGGCCAGCAGCGTTAAGGACAATGGGAAGGAGTTTTATTAAGTAGGATTCTTTTTTCCCTAATATAACAATTATATTGGTGCATTACTAGATAGACTTGTAGACTTATCAATAATAATGAAGAAAAGGCAAAGGTGTTCAATAAATATATCTGTTTTGTACGTGGGAGAAAAATGTAGTTATATCGTATGATGACATTCTTTCCATTCCACTAGTATCTCAGGAGGATGTTAAACAGCAGCTAGTCAAATTAGTCATTTTTAAATCAGCAGCTCTGGATAACTTGCATCTAAGAGTTTTGAAAGAGCTGACTGGAGAAGCTCATTGGACCACTAACACTGATTTCTAGTAAGCTTTGAAACACTGAAGAAGTTCTGGAAGATTAGAAGAAGCTAATATTATACAATATTTTTAAAAGGTAAATGGGATTATCTAAATATATATAGGTAATAGCACCTTAATTACTTCTTATCTAAACCTCCAAATGATAGCGGCCTATGGAGGTACTGATAAGAAGTAATTAAGGTGCTATTACATATATGAGGAAGCAGCCAAGTGAATTCTGGTCATCTATGGAGTACTAAATATACTGCTACCAGAGAGTAAGTTGGGAGCTGGGAAGGGAGAATAGAAGGTCAAGGCCCTTGTCCCTAGTTTGGACTACTGTGAGAGTGAAACTTTTAATGACGAACCCCAAGCAGAGCTCTAAGCCCCTAAAAATGCTTCTTCTAGAATGAGAATGCTCTATCTTTCCACTGGAAGAGAGCCACTGGGAGAAGTGAAGCTGATAGTGTCCAATCCGGGAGACTCCAACTACAAGCCAGAACATGAAAGGCCCACAGAGGTAACAGTAGCTCAGTAAAAAGAATCTATTTTTTGAAAGTTGTGTATATATATATATATAATTTGGGAACTAGAGCAAAACCAAGGAGCAGAGACAGTAGTGTATGTACCATCAAAGCACAGTAACACAATGATGGAGAGAGAGGAAAATCATAATTTGTTGTTGTTGTTTGTTTGTAAAACCTAGGAATTCTTGTAATTTGGGACACTGAATTAAAATTAAAAAGCTGTCCCATCCTCTGCCCATAACAGGGAGGAGTAAGTACAGAGATAAAAGAAAGGCTACACAGGGTAAGGAAAACTGAAGAGAGCTGGTGATGTGTAAGGAGATAGCAGAGAATTTCTTTTAATAAGTTCATTATTTGTAAGTATTACTCAGATTGTTTGGATGAATAATTCTCAGACTCTCCGTTTTTCATATGTTTGTTATTCATGTTGTGTGGCTGGTCACTTAAGTCACATGGTATATTTTCTGCTATCTGATTGGTTGAGTTAAATATTTCAAACAGAGGAATAATGATTGATGAATAACATGTGCCTTGTAAGAATTTTTGGGTGAATAAGCATTTGTACGAAAATGTGTTAATGTTTGTGAATCTCACCAGTTTTTCACAAATACTTAGTGACAGAATATTAATGATTAATACATACTTCAACCCTCGAATCATAGCAAATTGAACCTGGCACTTGCATTCATGAAAATGTTCACCCATTAGTATTACTATTCAACCAGCTCTAGTTTTAACCCACGCATTATATGAGGCAAAGAGGGTGATCAGAGGGCTGCCAACCTGCAAAGATCCAATAAACATTACCAAAGTTCAAAGTGTTCACTTTTAAAACTGGCCCTGCAGCACTGGTGACATCAGGCTTCAAGAGATGGCCTGGCATAGAAAAGGTGAAAAGGTGATTAGATAGAAGTCTGGGTAAATGGGAGTTTTCCCTGTATTAGGACTTCAGGATGTGACCCATGATGATTTGCTATTAGCTGTTTAAAAGATGTAGATTGCAAAGTTAATTGTGCTGGGTCAGCAGTCTGCCTCCCCAGTTGTCATGCAGTTGTCCCTATTCTATCAAATCCAGACATTTGAATGTGTTTTTCTAGTCAAGTTTTCATTTGCCTTCCATCCGTGTGAGAAAGCATTACCCCTGGTCTCCTTTCTAAGCTGATGGTTCAAGTACCTCTTTAAAAATAGTACTCTGGAATCATTGATTTCATGGCACAGGGACCACTGTACAGAACAATGGCAAAATGACCAAGATTTGGAATTCCACTGTTTCAAGGAATCTCACCTCAACGTTTTTTCAGGCTTTACAGGTGTTTGAGGTTTCAATAATATTTCAGCAGCTTTAGCTAATGAAAACACTTGATATAAGAGACTAGTCATAGCCATTGGTCATTTAAATAAATATATTGATGTAGTTCCATTTACTTGCATGGAGGTGCACACGGCATTAATGTGGCCCATTCTAGCAGCATACAGAGCTAAAAGAAAATCTTTGAGTGATGATGCCAGGGTCCAGTCCCTCTATTGTCATTTTCAGTTCATCTTTAGCCACACTTTCAAACATAAATAGCTATGCTAACTCTACAAAATAAACACAAGAATGATTTGTGTGCACAGTTGTGAAAAATTATGCCCAGCTACCTATTTGTATGTGTATGTGCATTATTTTAGGTAGCTGTATTTGAAAGTTGGCCACTTGACAGCAAAAACAAAAGTCTTTGCAGTTCATCTTTATCTTCATCCTAAATTCCTTGGGTTGAAACAAGCTCATTACTTTTATTTTTTTTTAAACTTGTATATAAATGATTGTAGAGCTATAGCAAATGTTTCCAATCATTTTTCAAACACAAAACCACTAGGCAATCTGTGTATTTACCACGCTTTGCTTTAATACATAAATCAAAGGACAATAACAAGCCTAATGTCAAAGAAACTTTTTGACACTTCATACATTAAATAAGAGCAGCCGATAAACAGTTTAGATGAAGTTATGGTTTGAAATGTAGTTCCCAAGAGGACCGTGGTTCATAAATTGTTTTTATACTACCTCTGTCATTGTTGATTTGAGATATGCACAAGACACCCACAATCACTACCAATGCTAGTATTACTTAACCTGCCTTTACTACAAGTGATATTTAGACAAGTACAGACTATCAACCATCCATTTCTGTGAGAAATGTGTAGTTTGGTTGTCATCACGTATGTAGTATGTTGCCTTCCATTTTAAAGTTTGACACATAATAAAAAAAATTGAAAAAAATCAGCCTTTAAATTTTGAATATGCTTTCAGACCATGAGCTTCTTTAGCTATTTGTGATTGGTGGCCTACTAATTGTTACAAAAGCAAAGTGGGACTAAGAACCGTTGTCAGATGAATATTTGATCTAGTCATGCTGAATCATGAAGTTGAGGCATTTCAAGGCCAGACAGTCATGTGTTGCATTAAATCTCCCAAATCTCCATGAAAGGTATGGGGGTTTTTACCCTGATTTTTTTTCATTAAATAAATCTCACCATGTCTCTCACCTCAAATAATCTGATATCATATTGTAAACATTTATTTCTTAACATTCCAGGAAATGTATATACAAATGATATACTTAATGCTCAGTAATTCCTTGGAAGTATGGAATAGTTCATACTGAAGACCATAGCTCTTGCTAGTTGCATAGTTAGCTAGCAGGATTCAGAACAAGAACATAACCACTTCTAACTCAGAGAAACAAGGTGGGGAGGTAATATATTTTTGTTGGATCAACTTCTGTTAATGAGAGAGAGGAGCTTTCAAGCTTACAGAGAGCTCTTCTTCAGCTCATCTTCTGAAGATGAGCTCCGTGTAAACTCAAACACTTGTCTCTCTCAACAACAGAAGTTGGTCCAATAAAAGATATTACCTCACTCACTTTGTCTCTCTAATATCCTGGGACCAACATGGCTACAACAGCACTACATACAAGTTCTTACTTAGTTATTCTGGAGGAAGGAAATTTGTAATCTTCAAGAAAATATCTGGAGATTAGATTATTTAAAACTGTATATTCTACATTAAGGGCCTCATTCTTCAAACCTTTACTCACGTGAGCTGGCCTTATCCCTGAGTAAATACATCTCACAGGAGAGAGGGTTTTTAGAATTATGCCCCTCTGTTATTGCACCAATGGATAACTGCTATATGAGAGTATCAGAGGGGTAGCCGTGTTAGTCTGGATCTGTAAAAAGCAACAAAGAGTCCTGTGGCACCTTATAGACTAACAGATGTATTGGAGCATAAGCTTTCATGGGCATCTGACGAAGTGGGTATTCACCCACGAAAGCTTATGCTCCAATATATCTGTTAGTCTATAAGGTGCCACAGGACTCTTTGTTGCTATATGAGAGTTAAGAGTTAAGCTGAGCATGAGAAAAGCATGCAACTAATTTTAGATATGTATGAAGAACAATATCTTATAAATAAAATGTCTAGAGACGTATTTAGTGAATTGATAAATTTATTAAGTGTCCCAATCTGGCCTTTAAAGGTCAAGGTAAATCTGAGGTGGTAGACTTCTCAAAGTGGTCTTAATCATCACGGTAACTATGTGACAGCACATTTGATGAAAGCTATACAAATGTAGCATTGTGCCCAAACTGCAACTCTATGCCTTCAGTACAAACAGATTTTGAGAGAGACGTTATGCCTTTGGTAACGGGCAGTACTTTAAAAGTATATCCTTAGCACAAATCCTTCTGATGAAGTATGTGCAAGCAGAGTTCTTAAAAAGAATTTATTTGAAGGAAAGAATACAAGGCCCAGCAGATTTACTATATGCTGTGCTTTCAATTCATTCTTCTAACACCTCTACACAGAGATTTCACAGCAATATACACAATTATTTGTATCAGAAAGTAAATCTATCTGAAATAAACCATAAGTATACCCCCATGCTTAATATTTGCTTGCACTGTTTTGTAAGGGATGGAGTGGTTGGCTGATAGCATAGTGGTTGGCTTTTGTTTCTTTTTTTTTCTCCCTCGATGATTTATATCAGTATGTGTCACTGATGCTGTAGAAACACTTCAGCAACTAGCTGGAAGCTAGAGGGCTAGATTTGCAAAGTTAGACTCAGGCAATTGTGTGCATGCATCTGTGTGTGCCACACTTATAAATGCAAATGCCCAATGTGCCTGTGCATATGGGATATTTGCACCAAATATGTTGGATGCACAACTAACTCTGAAAATCTGTTCTCCAGTCACCAGTGGATAGTTCCTAACTTGTCATACATAGTGAATTATACATATTGCCAAACAAAATATGCATTTTCTTTGCTTATTTATTTTAAATGTAATGGAGAAGCCACTGCTGTTCTTCCAGCTTCCAGTAACATTACAGCATATAATTCATTCTCCCTAAAACCACAGACATTTTTTTGAAGGGGTGGGATGTAGAATTAATCATCTTGTGAAGCGTTTATCCTTTTATGGTATGAGGAGCCAAGCTCACCTTTGGGCTGTGTCCAAAGGAAAAAAAATCTACAGAGAAAAAATGTATTCCTGGAAAGATATTAAACTATGCCAGGCATTAACATTGATAGCATGTTGATCTAGCTTCTGTCTTTCCTACTGCACTCATAAATTACCTTTCCCTCATCAAACCTAAGCAACTCTTCTCTATTCACAATTTCATTGACTTCTCTGCACACAGTGAACAGCACCCTTTCCCTTAAACACACTCTGTTCCTTCTCCTCGTTACACAACTACTCCTTAGTCATTGCTTTCACTGTTCCTCTTCTTTTCTCTTTTGTCTCTGTCTCCCACATTTTGCCCCCAGCAATTGTGCCCTGTTTGAACTTCTCTACTCCACTGATTTCAGTTGCTACCTTTATGCTGATAAGGCAAACCTGCATCTCCATATCTCATCTTCAGTCCTGGCTTGCATTACTATAAGCCACTTTAATATCTCCTCCTGGGTGTCCTGCTGCTTCCTAAAATCAAATATATCAAAAACTAAACTTCTCATCTTTCCTCCTACCTTATCTTCCTTTCCCCACTTCTCCATTATTGTTGACAACTCCATTATATTCGCAGTTACTAAAGATGACAACCTTGGACTGATTCATTCTTTAACTCTTTCCTGTCTGTCACTTTTTATTTCCAGGTTCTCAGTAAATCCTCTTGCTTTGTCCTCTACATCTCAAATACTGCCACCCTGCTTCCCAGCTCCATTCCTAAAATAGAATTTAGGTCCCTGCCCTCACCATCTCTCACCTAGATTACTTTTAAACTGTCTACCCAGCCTCCCTGCCTCTTCAGTTCATACAATACGCTGGAACTAAAATCCTTGCAGATAACAGGCAACTCTCTACTGTGACCAGGACTTCTCTAGACTCCTCTGTTTAGGTTCTTATATCATGATACACGAGTGCCTTCCAGGTCTCTAAGACCAGACAAAACACGTGGGCACCAATTAGTTGGCTTTAACAGTGTCACAGCAGGGATTGGCGAGTAGTCTTGTGACAACAGAAAATAACCTGCTAACAACCAATCCTAGGTCATGACCCAAAGTTTAAGAATCACTAACTTAGAACATTGAATTTCTCTACTGCCATGGTTGTAGGTTTAGTTTGTACTTTCCAAGGGGTTAAATACAAACTATTGTAGAAGGTATTTTGTATATAGTAGAAGGTATTTTAATTTATTTTCCCTTTATGTCAGTTAATCATCCAACATTGTGCTATAGCTTATAGGAAACGCATTCTTTGTATTCTTTAATTATTCTCTAAAATAGTTTTGCTGTACATACGGGCTGTGCTTTAGCATAATACACAAAGTACTTACTTTTTTACACTTGATAACACTGCAAAAAATGACTAGTTTCACTTCCATTGCTTGTGATTCCTGTGTTAGCCTGAGTATAGCATTACCTGCTTTTATTTTTAGAAATTTTTTAGGAAAAACAATTAAGAGAGCATGCAGAAGAATTTTCAGCCACAACAACTCCTTTTCATTCATGATTGCTTTGAACCACCATCCTCTGAAAGCAGACTCCCCTGAGTCAAGGTTTATAGTCAATCAAAAAAAAGTGGGGGGTACTTTACTTCGCCATTTTAATTGTAGGATAGGGGCCTTTAACTTTCCAGGAGGCTTTACTAAGAACATTTCTGCTGAGCAGAACTTCCTTGAATCTAGTAATCAGAGCCACAGGATATGTGTTAATTGTCCCTGACATGCAGAATTATCTGCAGTTACCCAAGCTCATAGCACCACTGCTGACATATTATTTTTCAAAAACGAGGTTTAAAATTATGTACAAATTAAATTACCAAAAATTGACTCTCATTCAAATAATGTCATAGGACTGACTTAAACCCTGCAAAAGCAAGAAGAATCAAAGCCAAGGCTGAAACTCTGTCCTTAACTCATCCTACTGTAATTCTACCCCGTGTATAGCAGTACAAACTGTGTTACAAATGAGATCACCCCTTGTTTATAGATTCCTGTTGTACCAAGCCATAACTGGGTTGGTTAAACATAAAGTTTATACCTTAATTCTGAATTTCCTTGCTTCTCTGGGCTGAAATCAATAATTTCAATGTTATGTACAACATCAGGGTTTTTTCCTTAGTATGAGCAATATAAAAAAGCAAGCAAGAAAGAAAAGGACAATTTTGTTAAGTCTTGAGGAAATGTCTGAGTCAAATTGACTGGATACAGTGGTTTCAAATCAACATGTGTATATGTCTCAAAATGTACAGAGTTTTAACAATTTTAAAGGAGCTTATACAACATTTTCCTTGGAATTATTTGTCATAGTTGACAAACATTGAGTAATTCATAAATAATCAATTTAACAAATTTCTATTTATTTTCTGATTGTAACATCCCCAAAACAAGTCACGATTTAAATGTATTCATTATTCAAAGTTATTTGTTGATAGTTTCTACAAATAATTCTTTTTCTGTAGCTTGTTTCAAGCAGGTTGTTGGAAGTATTCCCGATTCAAAAGACAAAATTTGAGCTGTTTTGATTGGACACGAATCACGTGCTAGGAAGTCTATACTGTGGGCGGCTTGTACCTACCTCTCCTAATTGGCTAAGAATTGTTCGCACCTCTTCTTTTTGTTACTGTCTCTATTGTTCACCCCAGATCTTGTTTCATCCTTGCATTAAATCTTGTCTTTTAGACTAAGTTCTTTAGGGTAGGGCAATCATTTTCTATACTTCTGTACAGCATCTAGCACAATGGCATCCTGACTTGCTTCATCTATAGGTGCTACTACAGTACAAATGTTAAAAAATAATGTGCTCTAATTGGATGAGCATAACTCTGAGTCATTTTATCCTGTGCTAATTTTGACATTCAAATTCAAAGTATGCTTTCAATGCATATTCTATAACACTTACCTAAAATATTCTGTTTCAACAAATTTTGCTGTTAGTAAATTCTTTATAAGAATATTCACTGAAAGGGTGAAATTCAACTCTACACCAAGCATTTCCAATGTCTGTGAACCACTAAAGTCCTCTGTACCAGCATTACTTTTGCACAAAATGAACAGAAGGGGAGTTAACATAGTTGAAATTAATTCATTTAAAAATCTGAATGAATATTCATGGATTTTTTTGCAGTAACAGTCCAGTTCTAATGTTAATTATGGTGATTCCACTGCTTTCTGCTATACCAAATTTGCTCCCTCATAGATCTGTTAATAATGGATCATTGATTTTATGGCATTTTCTTTTCCTGCCAGGCCACATTGTGGAACTGACTATGAATGGGGAACAGCTGAAACTCAAATGAATAGACGCCAGATACTGCAATGAAAATAGTGGTGTGATGGGGAAACAGGTTCAAGTTTAAAAACTAATGTTAACCATTAAAATGTTACATTTGTGATGGATTTTTATCACTAAATATTGACTTGAACTTAAAATAAAAAGGTGTTGTAATTTACAGCATTTGTGCTTTTTGGAGATAAAATCAGAGCTCAAATAGAAATTTGTCTTATTTATATCAACAGCTAACAGCAGACAGTGCACTAGACAGAAACAAAAATGTAGAGATGACTTATTTCTGACCCTTTTTATATTACTCTTAGATAAAAATAACCTCAAGAAACTAGTTAAATCCTTAATGCAGACTAGGTACTTTAAGAAAGAAAATAAACACATTTTCAGATTTAGTACCATATAAAAATCTGCTGCTGCTACATACACAGTCACTTCCTCCTAGGAGAGGATGGCTTTGTTGTCTAAGCTGCATGATTGAAATAAATAGACCCCATGGAACCACCGGTTTAAATCCCAGCAGGATTCACTCAGACTTTTCCATCTTGCCAAGGTAGATACAGTATATATAGTTCCATGCAGCTAACTATCTATATGTCTTTCAGATGAGACCTTATAAATGTAGGTTCTGTCTGCTATGCTTGAACATTAAATACTCCGTTCTACCTTCTGTAAATGTAGAGGTTTGCCATGGAGTTCTTAGCCAAAATTCTTCCTCTACTTCCCTTCCCACAGTCTTGCACCTTGTTAGTTACCACCTTCAACTCCAGAGCAGGCTGCATTTCACTGGTGCCACATATAAGTGTGTAGGGCTATTTCATCCCTTTCAATTAAAAAAAAAACTGCTCGGGGGCAAAGTTACACATGAAACTCTGAGGTGACACTTGCAGAGCCCCCATCACGGTATCCCATTAGGTGAGAGGAGTTTTTTTGGAGGGGATATGTGACATGGTCCTCTAATTGTAAAAAGGTCATAAGATCCACCAAGAGATCCTGTGTGTCTTGGGGCAGCCAAAGAAGATGAGTTCCTGCCTATTAGTCCCTAAGCATCTCTTTTCCCCAGCAGCATGGTCCCCTTAGGATTTCTGCTGTCATCACCTCTTCACCTGTGCCTGGATGAAAAGGTAGTGATGGCCTGGTCTCTGTGGGAGTTAAACTCCCATAGGAAATTTCCCCATGGGGTGCTAGAGGTTAATTTCTGTAAGATGTTTGCACAGTGCCTATCACATTGGGGTCTTGGGCAGTACCGGGAATGTGGCTTTTAGGCCTTACTGCAATACTAATAATAATAATAAATACTAAAGAGAGCAGATATTTCCCAGCCATGCTCCCCTCCAGCCAGGACAACCAATCAATGCATTCACATGGAGAAATTTCCATCAGCTCAATGAGGGAGGGGGATTTATGCTGTGTTGGCTATCTTCTTTCCAAGAGGTTTAGAATCTCTAGTATGGGATTTTTACTCCTTTTAGCCCCTCTGGGTTGCTAACCACCCCCTATTCATGCCAGTGGCTAAGGATTATACCGGGACACAGAATAAATTGTACAAAGTCCATTTACACTTTAATGACCAAACTATGGGTGCCCCAGCACAGATAATCCAGAGTGGAGAGAGGGCAAAGGGAAGCATCTCTTCCACCTCACAAGACACTATCTATGCCAGCTTGTGCCTGATGCAGGCATAGTAACTCCAGCCACCACCATTCAATCACTACCACACCCCAGAACACATCCTCTGCCTCTGAAAGCCGTAATGTAATGCAAAGTACTCATGCATCAAACCCTAACAGTTCAAATGAAGTAGTACAGCCTGATATACTTTTTCATTGCCATTCCTGTAGGGCTCAGGTCTGCAATGCCCCTTGCTTTCAATGAGAGGGAGTTGTGCTCAGCACCTCACAAGATAAGACCCTTAGGATAAAATAAATTAAACTCCAAAAAGATGTCAAAAGGAAATGAAAAGCAAAAAAACTATGGCCAGGTCTACACTATAAACCTACATTGGTACAACTACGTCACTCCGAGGTGTGAAAAATCCACCCCCCCAGCGATGCAGTTATACTGACCTAATCCCCAGTGCAGACAGCACTATGTCAAGGGATAGCTTCTCCCTTTGACGTAGCTACCGCCTCTCACAGAGATGGATTAACTACGCTGATGGGAGAAACTCTCCTATCGGCATGTTTGTGTCTTCACTGAAGCATTACAATGGCGCAGCAGCAGATTTGTAAGCGTACACTTGCCCTATGTTGAAGGGTTGTCAAATGTCCATTGTAAACCTACAAAAGCAAACGTATGGTTGAAACAGCACCCTTAGTTTGTTCAATTGTTCTTAACTCTCCCAACAAATATGATGGGTAACACAAATGCAAACAGTGACTGGTTTTGTATTACCTAGCCATAAAATATACATTCCCACAAGTGCATGGAGAAAAGGAAGACTAGATCCCTTATTGTGGCTATAATATCACCCCTGAAGTCTGAATTTCCTGTTGTTGTTGTTTTGTGGGATTAAGTCTGATCCTGAATTTACTTCAACATGTTGTTTTGTGGTTTAGTAGGATGATTGTCTGAATATGAAATATTAAATGAAACCTGATTGTTGGAGCATGAACTTTTCATCACATATTGAAGCATGAACCATTTGTCAAGTTTAACATGGTCATAGTTACACCAGCTGAGGATGTAGCACACACTCTGTGCCTGAGTGCTAGGTTTTGCCTTTGGACCTTTGATTTAACTGACAGATGTAAGAGAAGAAAAAACATTCAGACAAATACCTTTCTAGTGGTGGCACAGCTGTGGATGCTGGACAGTCTACTGTTCTTTAAACAAAATGCAGGAGAGATGAGGGTCAGAGTACCTTCTCTTTTTTGAATGACAGAAGATCCTGGCTTAACTGAAGATCCTCAGTTAAGCTAGGAAACTGCTACCAGACCTTTAATAGCAAAAACAAAGATCAGTTTCTGAGATCCATGGAGTAAGAGCCTGAGGGTATTATTTGGCCAAAAACCTGAAATGTTTATTATAACCCAAGCCTCAAATGTGCTTCATCAAGGTTCATGAATGCTTTGAATGAACTAGGGCTGATTTATGGTCTTGGCTGGAAACTATGAGAAACACAAAGGTTTCACCTCGTTTCCAACTCAAATCTGGTATAATTGGTGAGTGTCAGCTGAGATTTACTTATGAGATTTGGAAATTCATGTAGACTCAATATTCAAAGTGAACCAAGGGGTGCATAGTCATGCAAACCACAAAGGCTTACATACAACTTCTGTGAAGCAAACACAGTCAATTTCATTCACATATATTCTGTAATCAGCAGGAAAAACCCATCATATACCCTCAGTCTCTCTTGCCTTCCCACATCCTGTTTCTTCTTATCCTCCTAGCCTCTCTATCTCCCCTTCATCTTCTCCTCTTCCCTGAGTATCTTTCATCTCTTTCTTCTTCTTTCCTGCATATCTTCCCTATACTAACACATTCTTGTTCTTGCCACTCCCTCTCAATTTATTCCCTCTCCACATTTCTCTCTCTCTTATCCTTTCTAGTCACAGGGCTGGCTGATCTGCCCACTCTGTATGCCCCTGCCTCCTGCTGTCTCCAGTCTTTGCTGTCAAAGACTGTACAGAGCATGGCACAAACCAGAGTAGATGCCCCTGGGAACAGTACAGCAAGAAGTCAAACAACTGGTTCAGCACAATAAAACAGCGCCTTACAGAACTGAGGTGGGTCACCATTTTCAACGTTGGAGACAGTGGAACAACCCTTTATAAATACAATCGGTGTGTGTCTGAGCATCAGTTGTTGTTGCTTTGTTAATCATTTGCTTGTACTACTCAGACCCTAGGCCTGAGCCTCAATGGCATAAAGATCAATCACGTCTTAGTGGTAGCAAAGGACTTCTCAATCTCCACTCATGCCCCAAAAACTAGTGGCCATTACCACTTTTGTTTGAACTTACGCCCAGGTCCTTGGCTTTTTATCTTCTACAGATCTGAAAAATACAAATAGCAAGTAATCAAAAATGAAACCTGTGACTATTGTCTTCATGTCCTTTGCAATCAAATGCACAGACCTGTGACCAACTTTGCTTCTTTATTTAGATTTATGATAGTGTACATGACTTTACGATTATACTGGTGCTATTTAATAAGCTCAACACTGAATACCTTGCAGAAGACAGTGGAATGGATTAAGAAGCAAAGTGAATGGCATTGGAAGGCACAAGTGATTACTGAAAAGATTTCCAGACATAAAGCAAAGTTATGGGACCCTGTTTCAAATGATAACTTCCACTGTAAATTAGTTCTGTTCATATGTGTCATCAAAACTCTGGCATAAGGCAACTGGAACAAAAATGTTTACATTTTACCAGTGTTTTATATTCAATTAAACATCTTTGCTGCTATTTACATAGTTGAATGGCACTACATTTACACCCTGCAATCTCATGTTATTTTTATGTAAATATTTATTTAAAGCCAGACATAAGTTCAAATTAGTTCTGAACAAGCCACTAAAATAAAATAAACTTAAATTTAGTGTTGATCACAAATTATTCTAAAACTTAAGCAGCAAACTTGTTAAAATACAAAGTGAAAAGCAAACAATATTAAGCCAAGCTGAGCAAACTTAGGAGAAACTAGCATGCAAGCTTGCTTTAAAAAAAAAAAAAAAAAAGTTTTACCTATTTTGCTAGATTTTATCAGCTGAGGGTAAACTTATTCTAAATTCAGTGGAGATCTTAACTCAAACATGCCTAAATGGAACAGTGGGTTAGAGCACATGTGGATACCTGAATTTCTGCTTTCAGCATAAAAACTGGGAGCAGAATTTGGCCCCCAAATTTCACTTCTAGTACAATGCATAAAGGACACACTTTTATTCTTCCATCCTGTTTTCTATCACAAACCCTCTGAAAAGCACATACTCCCTCACCAGCTTGCCAAAAGTAAACCAAAAAAGAAAGAACGGAAAAGCACAAAATTAGCTCATAAGTCTCCTTCACTCCTGTTTGCCTGACATCCTCTTTCTCTGTGTGATTCAAAGTTGTACCTAATGTAAGTTAGACTGTAAACTCCTCAGAGTAGTGATTATCTCTTTAGTCCCTCTGCAGTTCTCTCCATGGCCCCTTAAAATGTTATGTATAAATATTAAATACTGACAGGCCAAATCTTTAAAGGTGTTGGGCATTCACAAATTCCCCTAAAGTCAATGGTATCTGCAGGTGCTCAGCAACAAAAACGAAAAGCTTGAAGGTCTCACCTGGTTTTGTGCTTCCTTAACAAACTTAGAACCCAGATTGTCTTCATTTAAAGATTTGATGAGTCACAAGTGTTTTGAACAAACCAGTGGCCCAATTTCAGTGCATCATGGCCCTGATTTTCAAATTTCCAGATTAAAAACTGTCAAAGTGGAGTTAAAGTTGAGAGTACATATTACTAATTTAGGTTAAAACTATTACAGGAGTGTTGTAATTATACAAAAACAAACCTAAGAAATTCAGATAAACATTAAAAGAAATCCAGATACCTTTAGGTTATGGAAGTGTACAGTTAAAGCAGCAAAACAGCCTTAACACTGTCCTGTAGGAACACTGTGAGGAGAAAAAAAATGAAACAAAAATCTAATGTGTCTTTAAAAATCAGTTTAATCTAATTTGGAACCATGAGCACTTTTGCACACTGATCATATTCCTCTGGTTATTTCATGGATCACTACAGGGTGGAGTTAAAGTTGTTTGGGTGCATTAACTGTGCATTTCCATACTTTAACATGCTTGCAGTTCTTGTAAGATTCACCTTCCCTCTGACAGCACATTCATCCCTGAGGGCAGCTTGATTTCCTTCCCTTTGGGAACTTTGGGAGGCAGTGGGCATGTTATACTTTCTATCCTAAGACCAGTAAGTATATTCATGCTGAAAAAAAAACTAAACCACAGGTGGAATTCACCCTAGCCAGCAGGTCTGAATAACTCCTATACGTCCCTTAAGATACCCTTGATGCCGTATTTTTAGAGATTAAATGGTATTAAAGTGGTGCATAGGCCTTATGTTGGGCCTCTGCACAGTGCTAATTTCACCTCCTGAGAACAGCAGGAAAGTTATGTGATTTCAGTTTGCCACCAAGGTGCGCGCTGTCCCTGGTGACTCTGATATAGAAGTGTAAATTAACAACTACTGAATTAGAAGATATACAGAAATGGTCATTAAGGAAAGAATACAAAAGGAAGAGGCCCATCACAGAGCCACAGCTACAGAAGAAGGATAATGATTGATTTTCTTACCACTCAGCAGCACCAGTGAAGCTACAAACATATATTGTTTTTACTCCTCTAGGAGTTATTTATTGGACAGAGGGAGGGCGGATAGCACTTCCTTTGAAGTCAAACATCTTGCTTGGATAAGCAGATACGTTGCATGAAATGAAAGTAATAAAAGGACAAAATGCTTTATTAAATCTTCTTTATCACAATAGTGTGTTCCAATAGCATGATCTAATTAAAGACGTATATGAACCCCTTTTCATCTGAGGATTAGTTCAGAGGCCTTCATTTATTTTGAAACAAATATACTGCTGAACAGTTTCCAAGATTTCCAATGATGTATTCTTCCCATTTTGTCTATTAGGTATTTAGCTACCTCTCCAACGTCTGTTTTTAAGGGAATAAAAGATGACTGTGGTTTAGAAAAAGAAGGACATGTGGTCTTTTTTATTATTTCTATGGGAAATACTCTGATGGTCCATTAAATACAATAAAACTTAATAATTTTTCAGAACCTTCTCTGATATGGAAAGGTGTGTGATGAGGAGAAAGTTACTATATCAGTCCCGGTGAACAAAGGGTTAACTTTAACTTGGCTTTCCCCTCTGGTTGGATAGGTGCTCAAGGGAAGCAGCTATAAAAGCACCTGCTTGGAAGACACAATAGGGTGAAGGTCTGAGGAAAGCTGATTGTCTTTAGGAAGCTCAGGGTTCATAAAGACCAGGTAGAACCCTAAGCACGAGAGTTTTTCTGTTTATTCTCTGCTTGTGCTAACTATTTTGCTTTTTTCTTATTAACATTAACCCTTAAGGCAAAGACCTTGCTGGGTGACTAAGCAGAAAAAACAGCTTCAGTCCATTGCCTATGCTCTCTTATCCCCCTATTGTCCACACTTGGCTTCGGTTTCTTGACATTCACCATTTGCATTGAAAAAATCTTACCTTATCCATATTTTCCTTTCTATTCCAGCAAATGGGGTTTTATTGCATTAGGAACAAATGAACTAAAAGAAGACCTAATCCTCTATAAGAACATGTTTAACATACACCTCTACCTCGATGTAACGCTGTCCTCGGGAGCCAAAAAATCTTACCGTGTTATAGGTGAAGCCGCGTTATATTGAACTTGCTTTGATCCACCGGAGTGCGCAGCCCCACCCCCCTGGAGCACTGCTTTACCGTGTTATAACAGAATTCGTGTTATATCGGGTGGCATTAGATTGAGGTAGCGGTGTACTAATATACTGTAAAATTGTTAATTTTCTGTTGGTTTCAGGTTTCTAACAGGTAGGATTTTTAAACTTGACAAATAACTCCAGCCTGCTTCAGAATCATTACTAAAGTTATTTGAGCAGTAGACATGAAAAAATTGTAACTCTCCAAAGGGCTGATCCTGAAATTGAACTGACCACTCCCTTTCAGGTTTTTAGCAGTTTGCAAGATCAGGTTCCAAACAAATAAACATGAATTTTGTACGGAATGACTTGATGCACTTTTGGAAACTCATCTAGGTATTGGTAAATTTTTCACTGAGCTAGAGTGATTAGCTGTGGTCATTCCCTGTCAGGAAACAAAACTATTGAACTGGTGAAATGTCATGCATTAACTTACTGCATCATTCAATTTTGCGATTGGGGTAGTTTTTTCAGTGTGGCTAATACAGTACTTTCTTATCAATTCACTTTTGTTTTGGATTGTTGCACATCGGTATTCATGTAGTCCTACTGTTTATTTCCATACAGATTAGTCTTTCAGGGGAACACTAAGGGTTCTTTAACTTGTTTTTAACCAAGGTTTAGTTACCATTCTTATATACTCACAACCGTAAATTCTTGTTGCAGTCCTTACTAGCAACCTTCAAGCTTCCCATAAGTCCTCAGTCTTTCCTTTGTAATAATGCATAAACCTATTGTAACAGAAAGAAAACTTCCAACCCACAAACATTTTTGTACCTATTGATATTAAACATTCATGTTCTCTGTTCCTGTTAAACTCTCTCAGTGGATTCTTTGTGACTGTAGATTATACTCTGTCTGAAGGTACATCAGAGCTCAATTTT